TCTTTCCTCCTTGAAGCTTGAAAACCAATATGAAAGCGTGTGGGAGAAACATTAAAAAAGTAATTTTATGCTTTATAAATCATGAGTTGCAAATATTCTCTTATCTCGCTCATTTCTAAATGCTATCCACATTCAGCAAAATATGGTCTTACTAGTCTAGGGCTTAAGAGAACTCTGATGGCATCTGCGTAAGTGAGAGGGTTAGATTAAGTCTATAAATATTGCACAGGCAAAGGAGATCTGTAAGTTTTCCCAACGCATAACAGAATAAACTTAGCAAAGGAATATTAAGAGTAAGTTTCACAAAATATTTCCTGACAGGAAAGGCTTTTCATTGTGAGCTAGCTACTTAAACTACGTACTTACAAGCCTCAGTGGGGACAACATGTCTATTTCTAAGAGGAAAAGATCATACTCGGATAATATACTTTTTGCACTGTGTGGCAACGTCCTTAATTTGAAGAGAAGTGGGCAATATGTGTCGGGCAAGAGCGGTGTTTTATCTTAGTGTTTTATAAAACACTACCCGCAATGTTCGTTTGTTCTTTTTTTTAAATGTCCCGCATGTTTGGTAGAATATGGCCTTGCTAGTCTAAATGGCTTTACAGGGCACTGATATCATCTAGGTGAGTAGACTTTTTTTTTTAGCACACTAATGTTAATTGGCTGCTTCACAAGCAGGGGTTTTTTATGTTGCTTTTTTTGTGAATGCTCTCATACGCTCTAAATGCCAGCAAATCATGTAACTAGAACTATATCAATTATAAACGGAATGAAATAAAAAACATCTTTTGAAATCTGGTATTCTATTCAGCCAGTTTCAGTATTTCCCTTTAAAAACAACATTGCTCTTTAAATGGAGAGTTTTTCATGCTGGAGTGGTCAAGACTAACAGCCAGGCTTGGAGGGGGAATCTCAGGTGTGAGCTCTGGCACCAACTCGCCAAAGGACATTTTCATGTCACTGTCCCCTTTGCCGTGCTTCTGCCATCTGTGTGCTGCGGCAGTGGTTTTGTGCACATCTGCCTGCTCCCAGCAACATGTGGCGGGGAGGCACCTCTAGGGAGGAGTTTTGGTCCTTTCTACCATGAACAGCAGTGCTATGCAATCCTCCTATAAAGCAAGCCCCATTTTAAAATTAGGTTTGAAATCCAGAGAGAGAGCTGTTCTAGAATCTTGTGGATCTGATGGACCCTAATGTCATTTGCAGCCCAAAGCAAAGGGACAGTTTACACCTACTTGGGTTTTGTCTATTACTTAAGCTGCTCTGTTCTCACCTGCTTTAGTTTAGTTTAGTTTGTATGTTGCTTGCATATATCTTTTCAATATGGTGAAATATTTATCAAATGTCATATGCTATAACTTCCTAGTTTCTTTTCTTTTTAATCCTTATTTTACGTTTCTTTAATGACCCCTTTGGTTATAGAATCACGTGCCTCACACGGTAATTGCATCAGGATTATAATGTAGAAATCTTCCACATTCTGCACTTTCTGTGGTCATTTATGTATTTGCAAAGTGAGTATTAAATATCTAACTGTTAAAGTTTTCATAGAAGCCACGCAAATGTTTTTGAACATGACTTGAGGCTAGTAACTAAACCAAATTTTAAAAAAAAATATAACTTTTTTGGCGTTTTCAAAACAAAATATTTTGTTTTTTTCCGGAAAGATATTTCAATGCTACATGGAAACATAATTTTTTAAAAGCGGTAAGGGGAGACAACTGTTTTGTCTCTTGATTAAAGGATTTTGAGGGATGAGTGTTTCCTTTTGGAAAGACAAAAACCAAGAGTGTTTGCCACAAGTTGAGTCAGAACTGGTTTTAAGGTTTCTCTGTGTCATCACCAATGACAAAGTTTCATAAATCTCTTTGTTCTCTGCCTGCGAAATAGCTAAGAGGGCATTTCAAAAGCCCCATGCACAGCACCTCTGCTAGGAGTAGCTGGGTGGAAAAGGTGAATATTTATGTGTATTCCAGGAAGTTATTATGATAAATATACCTCTCTAGATCCTTCTTTTGGTTTTGCAGCTGCCTCCTTTTTCCCTTTGAACATGGTCTTCGCTTGTCCATTAGTGCGTAGCCAGCCTTTGCCAGAGGCAGGTGGGATTTGCCAGTGTTATCTCTGCTCATGGTCTGTTTCCCCCTCCCCAAGAGCTGCACCCAGCTGATGGCTCTGCTGCCCCCCCATCTGGGTGCAATGGCCACCCTTCTCCATCTTAAAAAGGAAAGAAAAAACTTTATGGTATAGGTATAGGAAAAGAAACTGATTTAAAATAAGTCTTTTATGAAGATTTGAGGTGGTTTGGTGGGTTTTTTTCTAAATTCGAAGTGGTTTACAGAGATTAACCACCAAATTCTCTACTAAACCCAGGCGTCAATTGAACAAGCACTGCTTTTCCTGTGCTATGTACACAGAAGTGTCAACAGGTCTGTCTCACAGCTCGCCCCACTCGGCCGGCCATCGGTGCTTCAGGTGGTCTGTGAGCCCTCCCCAGCCTGGCGCAATGTTGGCAGGAGCTGCAGAATGCACCGCACCTCCCAAAGTCTGCTGAGAAAACCTTGATATCAGTCCCCCTCGGTCTGAAAATTTGGTCCACATGCTGGGGAACACAGGCTAAATTTCACAAAGTGTTTGAAGTTTTCAGACTTTAACATCTGCCAGAGCTGCACCACTGCCTGTGCTGTGATTGATTCATAGGTTTTCAAGGCCAGAAAGGACCGTTAATCTGATCCCCTGAATAGACCGGGCTGTCAAAAGCCATCATTACTCCAAAACAAGAATGATATTTGCATCTGATTAAACTGTATCTTCCAGAACTCGTGGTTCTTGTAACCATTCCACTTCCTCCCCAACTGCTATTTCTGTTTATTCACCCAGTGCAAGACACTTCACGTCCTGCTTTAGGCTCTGTAGGAAAGAAATCATGCTCTTTAAATTGTATTGCTAAGCAGCCAGGATGTATGTGAGTGATGTAAAAATAGCAAACAGAAAAAATTACAAGAAACAATAGATATCCAAACTTACATGCTATAACTTTCAAAGTTCTCTTGTCAAACTCTTGTATGAATTCTCAGTGTTGGACTCTCTGTCCAAGTCATTTTTTAGTGTGAATATTGAGGCTCCTAGAGTCAATATAGTTCTACTAGGTACAGATTTTGCCCATAATAACCTTCTCAAAATGCTGGAAGATAATGAAAACCTCTAGACTTTTAAAAATGTCGTTTCATTCTTTGCTAACACAATGCTTGTAAGAACTGCTGAGAGCTAAGTGTGGGTTAATAAATCTCGAAACCGCAGCTCCATTGCCATTTGGAAAACTAACGGAGTCCAAATGTTGCTACAGCAGGCATGAATAATTCATGGCACAGGGTTAAGAATTTTGAAACTAAAAAACTATCCAATAATATCCATAGCAATAGCAAAGTACAGAAATTCTCCTACCTCCTTGCAAGAACTTCATAGGGTAAACTATGGCATGATACCGATCTATGCTTAGTGACACGAGGACGTAAGTCGAGGCATATAGAAGGACCACCTAGAGTAGAGGGTACAGGAGACAGCAGTTGAGAGACATTTATTGCAGAAAAGAATGTCAGTGAGAACACTGAACTAAGAGTATTTGAGAACTTCTAATAAAAATTAAAAAGAAAAAAGAACAAAACTTGAATTTTTACC